ATAATGTTTTTCGTGACATGACCACACTTCCAATGACCCAACTCATGGCCCAGTACGGCGAGTACCTCCTCATTTGTGCATCCTTTGCCTTTATCTTCCTCTTTCAATTCAGAATCATCTGGCTTGCCTTTGTTCAGTAGCAAAGTATCGAATAGTACAATCCGTTTCGAATTCCATAAACCATAGAAGTAGGCATTGCTGTGCGATGAACGTTTTGAACCCTCTACAACGTACAATTTGGTGAGAGGGAATTTCAGCATGGCTGCAAGATCTTCAATGGATTTGCGTAATGGTCCTTGCTCAAGTGGTGTATATTTATCGAAGAGTGGTGCAATGAATATTGGATAGATAGTAAGCAAAACTAGCGATGTGATGCCTGTGAAGAGCCACAACCAAATAAAGAATTGATCACCGCCGTTCTGCACAATCCAGACGGTTGCGGAAATAATAGGAACCATTAAGATTTGTGTAACGAGAAAACCCTTTACTTGATCCCAGGCGAAAAATCCTCCAGTTTGTTTATTGAAGCCATGCTTTTCTTCCAGTACAAATACGGAGTAAATCTTAAAAGGAAGATCTTTAAATGTACCAATTACGCTTGTAACAAGTCCGAATAAGCAGCTGACAATTATTTCATTATCGGCATTTAAATGCAGAAGTTTTGCCAAATCTATAGCCCAAGCCCATTGCACAGCAATGAAGCCAGTATAGAGTTCAATGCACATTAGAATAACATCTTTTATAATGGCACTAAATACGCCAAATGTGGCTCTGTCAAGACCATAAAGACGAGCTTTCTGGAATGTGTCATCGTTCATGCAGTCTTTGAGCTCCCTGGGCACTCTCAAAGCTGTTCTGTATACTCTTATCTATAAGTAAGCAAAAGTTAACAAATTGTAAGTGTAATTGTATTTTGTTACTTAAATTTACGACTTCGTGACAATATGTATGTTACATAAAATATATTTTTTTATCTTTGTGTAGAAAATTAAATTCTAAACTAATTTATATGTAAATTTTTAGCCAAGTTTACGCATGCATATATAATTCTGACGTATCGCAGARACAAGTTACCCCCTACCTAGTTTAACATGAATTTTGAGCCAAGTTGTATTCAATTAACCTAATTCATAAATATGTCTACATGTACACAACTCTTAAATTAAACAATGCAAATATATTTAGAAATATCTTTCAATAATTTCAATTACCTGACGATATGTTATGTAGATATCAAATATGTTTTCCAAAAGGATCACTCCAATAACGCTATATAAAACAACATCTCCCGCTGGCAAAACCATTTTCTTACTTTATCGGCTCTTCGAATGCGAGGTGCCAAAATTTACTGAATGATAAAAGTGTCAAAGGTCAAACAATTTCTTATTGTATATTTATTAAACAAGTAAAAGTTTATAGTTATCGGTTAAGAAATAAAACTTACAAATTTTAGCCAATGGACAAATATTAATGATAAGCGTCGCCGCAAATGTGAACACCAGCTGGAAGCTGTCAGACTGCCTGTGATGCCATATGAGATTTTTTTTTTTGCAAATTGGATGTAAGAGCTTATTAAATCAATAGGGGTATTCGCTTGCTCTTGCARGATTGCAGATTGCAAAAATACTATACCRAAATATACAATGGCACGAGAGCAGCCATTGCAGTTTTCTTTAAATACATTTAAATGTTCTATTTAGAAATTATTTTTTAATTGCGAAATGTCACATCTTGATGTCTATTGCTTACTAGCAATGAAAGCCAGCTATTGTGAATAGTTACCGCTTGAAGTATTTGTTGCTTGTATTGAAGTAATTCATACTCATTTCTAACGTGAAATTATTGTGTTTAAATACTGTATTTATTATATTTAAGTAAATATTCTTGTTTAAAATAAAATGCCCGGCGGAAGCACAAAGAAGCAAAGTCCTGGAGGTGACTCCGCAAAGAAAAATACRAGTAATAGTTCGGTACGAAATGTATGCGGGTCATCGGGGAGTCGCAGGGCGCGAAAAAGGTTTGTTTATAACTTCAAGCAGTGTACTGTGTTATTTGAATTGTAGATACAAAATTTAATTCATATTTCTTACAGAAAAAGATGTCTGGTCAAGAGGTTTAGCGATAGCGACTTAGAATCCGAATTGGAGGATATGGCAGATGCGGTTGAAATCGAAAAGAAACTGCGAAAAGTGGCCCAAGAAAATGATTTAAGTCATGATGAGATGCGCCAATTGATACAGGTTCAGTTTTCAAGAATATACAATAATTGCTTTAATAAAATATTTTTATATAGAAATTTGTGAAAAATGAACATATACTCGCGCTGGTCACACTAAAAGCAGAAGATGAAATTGAGCGCGAACGTCAAGAATCYGAACAACCAGCTATAATAATTACTGATACACCGTCTGTGCCCAAATTGACGCGCGCTAGAGCACGCGAGTTAAATAAAACGCCTGGAATTACATTGCCAGTAGTAAATGAAATTAAAGAGCCGGAAATTGCAACTCTTATACAAGACGAATTAAATTCAGATGAAGACGATGAGGAGTATGTTTTCAAAGAAGAGGATTTTATTGTACGTAWTTATTAAACATTAGATKAATCTAATATACTAATATGTTTATTTTAGTCCGATGAAGATCCAAATAGCACAGTTTCAGATTTGGATTCGAATCCACGCACCCCACAAACACCTTTATCACAGACAGAAGCTGAAGACTCGCCCGTAAAGTTAACCGAAGATGGTTGTTTTAAAATACCATTGGAAAAATGTAAGAGCACACGCGAAGATGTGCGCATAGCCGCGCGGACGCGTTCGAAATTATGCCTGGAGCAAACCGCTATCGAAGATATAGAGTCTGAGTTTGTGCCACCTGATGTAGAACAAATTGATTTGCAAGATTTTGATATGACTGCCAACGATGAGGATTGGATGCAATTTCTAAACGATTTTTCTAAGCCCTTAAGTAAATGTCATAAAAATGTAGAATAGTACASTATTACATATTTTTAATTTCTTTATTAAAGGCACCAGTTTTGTGGCAGATGAAGATGATCCCATTAATGATCCTGAGTATATAGCGGCCGAGAAAATATTGGGTTTGACAGTAAAATTTACCTGCGTACTGACTTAATTTATTTATTAAAACTTATTACAGAGGATGCTGAAGAGTTGCGTGACGTGAATATACCTAGAAAGGAACTAACTGATCTCGTGGCGGAATTGTTCGAAGGTTTGGTCAACGAAGGCGTGTCTCTTGAAAGCATTGAGTTGGATACACCACAAAAATTCTTGTTAGATAATTTCGGGGAGACGACCRTTACCGAAGACAAAAACATGGACTCCGTTTCTGATAAGTTCGCTACACCTACAATTCCTGAAAAAGATAATAGCCGAATTGTGAGAGAACTAAATTTTGATACACCAACCACCCGACAATATAATCCGCCACAGCCACAGCCACAACCARATTATATTACTGATGTACCACCTTTAGTTCCTCTTAGTAACAGAAACAATGTGACTATAAATGATTACTCWTTCAATCCAAATGTTGTGTCCACYCCTTCAACGCAACTACAAGCGCCTGTGGCATATACYAACAGTCCGGACCAAGGTGGMAGTCAAATTATAACTCTTCCCCCCTCCAACTTTTCGACGGAACCCCARTGGATAGCTGTTAAAATACCGGGACAAAATAATTCTTATCAATTAGCTCGTGTAGTACCAAATGCTAATGCAATTGGACCACCGCCGCTCGTTAGAATACAGCCACAGAGGATGCCAGCGCGTGCACCAGAACCACCTACTTCTCCAAAAACCCCACAGGATCCACTTTACAGTGTACCATAYGACACAAATTTTACATGGGAATATATATCTATTAGAAAACATGTATATACTGAATATTTAAAAAAATTCGAGACTAATCGTAACATGTCGAACAGTATTTCACAAATGGAGGAATTGTCAAACCAACCGATAGGCTTTACCAAGCATCAACATGATATATTACAACAGCAGTTACGTATTCACGTACAAATGCTAACACAAACATTTATACAAAGCTACTCACATCCGATGTATTGGAAGCTTTCGTTTAAGGCGAAAGACATGTTGTTGGAAATCGAAAAGAGAGCACAAGACGATGCGTCATTCCGGGCGTGGAATCTCCAGCTAGCTGTGAACCTTATTCGACAATGGGAGGAGGATTTAAATAAGGAGACTAAGGAAAACAAAGAATTGATGAAGTAAGTAATTTGAAAAAAAAAAAAAAAAATTTAATAATTGTAATGTTTACTTTACAGATTTATACACAGCGAAATTAATAGCACGTAAGAGTCGGACATCACCGAAAGCTATTTTTATCAAATTTTTTATTTTTTAATAATGTGATCTCTATCGTTATAGCAAAAGTAATCGCCGTCAAGTTCCACGTTTTCCCCCACGCATTATGGAATTTGTAATAAATAGCGAGGTGTTCATGTATCCAGAATATTTGCCCCGTATACCGTTCATTTCAAGGCGAACCAAATATGAAGTGTTTGCACCTGCTGAAATGCAATTAATTGCTATGGGTTTGGAACATCATATACAAAAAATACGAGAAACAGGTGAGCGCATATCAAAGAAAACATCGGAATTAAAGGTAGCTGTAGAACGGTTAACAAAGGACACTGTGCACGGCAAGTCGTTTTATCGAATATGGACTCAAGTGAAATGCTTGAGAAATGCGGATTATTATAATCCGGTGAAGGTTGGTTACTACGTAGAAAAATACATAATTAAGTATTCTATTTTTTGTTTATCATTTCAGTATTATTTTGAACACAAACGTGCTCCACCAGTTCAACACAAGCTTATTTACTTCGAAAACAACAAAGTATTACCACCTAAGGATCGTTACACAGAGCTACCGTTGGCTTGGCAAACGCATATAGATGAGGTAAGTGGATATTTATTTTAAATTTATTAATCAAAAGAAGAAATTGCCAGGTTATATTGTATTTAATCGCTTATGTGTTCATTTTATTGGCGTAATTTTATGAATAATTGTTATTCCTATATAGGGGAAAGTCGTGTTAGACACCCAAATTATGATTTACACAAATTTCATACATTCTGCAAAATCCACAAGAAGATGATAGAAGGTTGTTAGTCGCTATATTAGCATTGTATTGTACAAAAATTTGTTTTACAGTTGAGCTAACATAATTTAAAAAATCAACTATTATTGCCCATCACATTTATTGTGTGTTTCCGACACGATCTCTAGGTATCAGTCGTAGTTCTGAACCATGCTTCAAGAATACATTGCCTGCTGTTTGTTGTGGGCTAATACCAATGCCATCATCTGTTATTATCGCGCTGGTTGCTGCTGGCACTTTGAATTCTTCCGCTGCGAATTTCAGCACTGCCGTGAATGGCGTTCCCTCTGGTACGCTGAGTACTTTAAAAGGCAATTTAGGATCCGATGTTAATGTAATTTTGAAAGTTACTTTCGAACTCATGTTTTATGCTGCGTACTATACAGGTTTCACAAAGTAATCGTTGTGACGTGGTCACTTTGAAACTACTCAAATTTGCAGTAAATAATACTGAAGGTTTAAGCCAACTTAATTAACWTATGTGTTGTCTTAAGATGAATTCTTATTGAAAAACGCGAGCTAATATTTGATTTAGTTTTGTTTTTCAAAACTTAAATATTTATTTATTTGCCAATTGCCAACCTCCCAGGTGTGTTTAGAAATTCGCTTTCCACCTTTGTTTGAGATTTACAATTTTCGTAGTTATCGATGTAATAATCGATTAAAAAACTTTTTTTTTTAATTCAAGTGCATCCTAGTGACATTAAAATTCGTAATATATGTGATATATTCTGTGGGCAGGACTTACTGTATGTGTAATTTAGTTATTAGTATTAATTTGAAAGAAACTTAAAAGCTCAAGGATTTTAGATTGCTAATATGCTATGTAGTAAATGTAGCCGTGCCTTCAAATTTTGATATATGAGTTTAAATCGATTATTAAATCGTACTTAGAAGTAACGATAATTTTATTGCTGTAATCGAAGGCATATTGCGAAGTATTCACAGTGGGTACTTCATTTTAATCTAGACGTTCACAGTTATTTTGTTTATGTTTGTGTTTTTGACATTAGATTTTATAGAATTTTGGAGTGCGTTTGCTTTGTAAAGTATTAACAATTTTTGCATTACTTTTTCAATTTTCGTAATGCTCTTTTAACTTTAGAAAATACGAGCAGAACGAAGAAAACGAGGTGTATATGCATCTGAAGAAGCTGGGTCGTCCTATTTAGAATTCGTTCGTGAAGCTTTGGGCGAAAATATAAAACTACCCGATAGCACAACTCAAGCTTCAACACCGGACAACAGTGGCGCTAACTCATCCTGGTTTTCACAAACAAGTAACAATAGTTTCTTCACCAAAACTCGTTCGAAAAAAAGTATTGCAAATTGCCTAACTATAAATGTGAATTATCATTTTTCTGGTATTACAACAATTGGGGACACACAACCACCCGTTAACAACACAACAGCACTAGCGATAAAAGATACTTCTACTGACAAAGATAACTTGAATACCTCTGACTACCAAAATGCAAATATCGCTTCATACAATTACGATTGGGGTTCCAAAACTTTGCAACCGATTCTTGAACCGCTGCAAAATGGAACAAGTTTAAAATCTACCACTACGCAGTGTACAAGTGAGGGGAGTCCATTGAAAGTTAAATCGGCACGACGTAAATTGCATTTGCCTACTAAGTTGAAAGCTGGGTACACCAAAAATACGCGCTTTAGAACATTGCGACGGTCGTGTCACATATTTCAGCGACATAAGAAAAATAAACGTCAGCGGCAACAACGAATCAGTTGTTTACTAAATTGCTACCGCAAAAATTTGAAGCGAAAAGAAGTGCTATATAAACGTGTACCAATTGTACGCACACTTTACAGATATTTTAAAGCATTAGAGTTATACACAGACTTGTTAAGAGATCTCAAAATGGCTTGTCGTAATGCTACTTCCATTACTTCTGGTACCGCTACTGGCAATGCCCAACCCATATCAACGAGCGCCTCTACTGCAGGACAGCATTTGCCAACAGCAAAGTTTTTTGTGCATAGTTCACAACAATATTTTGGTAAACGTACGCGTGGTGAAGAAGAGTCCAACGTCTGTTCGCGCAGTAAAAAGGCTAGCAGACAGGAAGAAAATTTCAAGCATATGCTTCTGCCTGATACGGCTGAGGATGCAAATCGCAAAGATGCAAGTATGTAAAAGACTGTAGTTGCATAGTAATGTCAGAACTAAAAGTTTTGCCCACAATATTTAATTTTTTATACGCAGTTTACGCATTGAACTTTTATGAAAAGGTGGAAGAGGCTTTCAAAGCCTCAAATCGTTCTGAAGACTGCAAAAAATTCAATCATATACTCAAAACATTCGATCCGCGTCGAGATAAGGTTGCGGATTTATATTATGTAAGTGCAAAGTGATTAAAATACTTGAGATCTGTACCATAATTTTTGTATTTTTAATTCAAATAGAAATTAGAACAACTATTTCTACCTGAGCATCCTGAGCTAGCTCAGGTGTTCCTCACTTTTTTGTTACCATCTGAAGCAGTGGAAATTGGAAAATTCTTTGAGCATTTCATGATCAACAATATGACAACATTTATCAACAAATTAAATATTTATTTTAATAAACAACCTGCTCAAATTCGAAAAATTTATAACTGTTTAGCTGAGTTGGCGGAGGATCCAGAAGTTACCATGAAAAAAGTCGAAACTAAAATTTTGCCACTGCTGAAGGGCAATCAATTTCTAATCGATTGGTTTTTGCAACAGTTTACCGAGGCTAAACCACCAGAAAGGTATAAACATAACGCAATTAATATCYATGTAAAAACACGTTTTCAACTGTTTGTTTTTCTTTACTCTATAAAGAATATTTTCAACGCCAGAGCAAGTAAATTTGAAGGAAGTCGAAATCAAACCCAATCTGTATGAAACTCTCAATGATTCACACGAAGTTTCAGCGCCTTGTTGTGAACTGCAGCAGCAGCAACAGCAACAAAACCAAACACATAACTGTCAGTTGAGGGTGAGTGCTTTATTGGTAGTGTCGATGTGTTTTTACGTGAATACCTGTATATGTATGACTAAACTCCACGGTGCTTTCTATTGCTAGAAGCACATAGATCAATACAATATGGTTCTCAGCTCCCCAAAGCATAAATGCATTTTTTTTTTTGCTTTATAGGTAGTGTACAAATTACTATTTGTAACAATTTTATTTTCTCCATAGTATATAAATGGACGGATCTTCTACGGTAACAAAATGACGCTGCCCGCTAAACTCTCTTTCATGGCGAATAATTGTCAGCCTGAAACGGCTGGAGAAAGTAATAACGAAGAACTTTTGGAATTGCCAATGCCCGAATGTGTGCACGGTATACGCGAGCATGGTGAGAAACAATTGGCGGTTGCTGTGGACAAAGCGGCAGCAAATGCGGCAGCTGACTGCAACAGTGATGATAACGATAAATTGGAGGAGGAAGATTTGTCCAAAGGTATATTATATACACACATAAACTAATGAATACTATTAATATACATATATGTACATATATATAATTTGTTCACTCTAGTGTTAATAGTTGATATGCCTAACGATGAGGATACCAGCTCCTCACTGGAAATATGTGACGATACCGCTTTACGTGCACATGCGATGCGCCTTAATCCCTCCTATTATGCGAATACATGCTTTGCGCCTGTTACGAGCACACCAAATACGAGCAGTAACTTCGCGTCTCACCATGCAAATGCTAAGAAGTCCTCGTTGAATTTCAACGATGACGGTAAAATAGTATCACCGCGCAAACATCCAACACCTGGTACATCAACATGTGCCAACATAAGTACCGCCAGCCTAACACCTTTGCAATGCCTACCGTCGAACAACGCMAGTGCAACTAGCAGCGCGTTAACAACGACAACACTTACCGCACCCGCTACAAATGCGGTCTGTAGTAATAGTAGTAGTGAAAACAATGCCGACCCACAGGTCCCTCAGCAGCTACGTGATAAACGGAAATCGCCCACAAAGAAGATTAAATCACCTGTGTCGGCGACTCGTGTACGCCCAAGCGGCAGCAGCCTACAACCAATGGTTGTAGTGTACGAACACAATCCTGCCATCGCGTGTGCTAAGAAACTAAAATCTTTGATTGCAGAGGAGGACTATGAAGGTGAAATCGATAACAAAGATCGTATTGCTATAGTAGCTTGTGCCAAAAAACCTGGCGACACTAGTCAAGAGTCGTCTGTTACAGACGATAGTGTTGTGCTGCAGTCGCATGAGCATAGATCCGTTTCACCTCATACGCCGCCACTGCTCACAGTCACTAAATTGGAGCACAGCGATAATTCAGATGATTTGGAATTCATACCAGAGAATGCTGAAGTGTCACATTCATTTTCGCATGACTGCTTCGATCAGTTGCAACAAGCGCAGCATGTTGAGAATAGCGATTTGCAAGAAGCTGCGACTACAACAACGTCAATGACAGCAAAAACGTCAARTGTGTCCAATCCCGCTGCCACGAATGAAAATTACACTGAAGATTGTAAGTTGGAGGTAGTTGCCACATTAAGCGCATCCACGCCTGATGATGATATAGCGACATACAAATCGAATCAAGCGTCAGTTAAAGCGTCTACAGCTTGGACACGTGAAGAAGACAAGCTTATATTGATCGAGATGAAGTTGAGCGCCGGCATTGAAAGGGAGCTACTCTTCAAGCGTATGCATGATAAGCTAACATCTCGTTCGTTGGCGGAAGTCAAAGAACGCTATAATTTTTTAATAGACTTTCTGTCCAAGCTACAGGGCAAATAAACAGTTTTTTTTTTACTTTAAGTTAAGTGGTATTGTTAAGTACACATATACATATATATTTTTAAAATAAAACTTGGCAAAACGAGTTGCACCTTACTTTAAGAATTMAAATCTCTGCTTTGTTTTGTTTTATTTTTGTTATCCATCAACAAGAAACTTCACTGAAATGTCATCTTGTTATGAGTTTAAACGGTTATGCAACGGTACATGCCGTGATTCTGGAAATAAAGAGCTCAACAGCTTATAAGTTTGTAGTAAATTATTTCAAACATGTATTCGGTGAAATAATTTTCAAAATAAACTAAAAAATCTATTGTCTAATTAACTCGTTAATATAAAATCCTTATAAAAATCAGCAATCTAGAATTTTGTTCTTGAAAAAACCTAAATTTTTTGTACTCATCTGAAATAGCAATATGTCTAACATTGGAATTAATGGTTTTGGCCGAATCGGACGTTTAGTATTGCGCGAGGCAATACGTCGAAAGGCACAAATTGTGGCTATCAACGAACCTTTTATCGATGTAAAGTACATGGCCTATATGTTGAAGTATGACTCAACACATGGTCGCTTCAAAGGCAAAATCGCCATGGATGGCAAAAATTTGAAAATTAACGATCTTACCATAAAAATTTTGGCTGAAAAGGATCCGACCAAAATCAAATGGAAAGAAGTTGGCGCTAAATATGTGCTCGAATGCACGGGCAAATTCACATCCACCGAGAAGGCGAGTGCTCATTTGAAGGGCGGCGCAGAAAAGATAATTGTCTCGGCGCCCGTTGCTGATGCGCCCATGTTCGTTGTCGGCGTCAATTTGAATGCTTACAAACCGGATATG